GGGTTGTCAAAAAACCACTAAAACCCGCAGGTCTCTATCATGTTCCTATCTAAAGTTATTCAAAAAATATCAGAGTGTCTTGACTTCTACGGCGATAAAAAATTGTACATTTCTACAGCGTATATCTCCCTTAATAATTGATGAAGTGTCGGGAAAATTTTGCTGTGTACTGCAGGCATGGAGCATACTAAAATGCAGTACTCAAAAGTTGTTTAGGTTCACTTTCTTTTTTTTGGGTCAATTGTACCAAAAAGTTGCAATTCACTCATATATTTCAGATGAGGGAATATGTTTTATAGGTACATATACGCTTTTCCAACATTTTTCAACGTAAAGAAATTTATTTACAGATTTATTTGTGTATATGACTTATACGGTAGACGCGTGTGTGGTTGAGAATATCGACGTTTTATACAAGGCATTTATTTCTCAAAGTGGTGTGACGATCACTTTTATTCTCCAGCTTTTTCCAGTTTATATCTGCTTTTTTAACTTTTCTAAAGCAGAATTAAATCAAAAATATAACTGATTTACATAGTACACGGCAGCTGCAGCGAGTGAGAAATGGGGACATGTAAATCCATTTTATTTTACTGTTACACAGTTGGAATTTTTCGTCAGACGTGTTGGGTATATCAAAACGAGTTTTTTTTCTCAGAAAATGTGCTATGTCTAAGGACTTCTTCTGTATTTTTTCTCGATCGATGCTTACCGTGCGATTTCAAAATAAAAATGCACAGAAGTGATAAATACATGAAAGGTTGACGTTTTTTATAACAATTATGAGTATCCTCGGTGTAAGATCGCTTTGCTGTTAATGACTCTCAGGATATAGCGACGATCAGTTCGGTTCTGTTTGATGCACAGAGGATTGGGACTCAGCCATTCAGCCTCATTCACAGAATATATAGAAATATGGAGTTCAATAAAAGCTATACAAACCAACAAAAAATACTTTGGGTTTTAAAAAAGTTTTCTAGAAACCTTCCGAACTGCAAGGATAATTCTTTACTATTCTTAAGTAAAAAATCACATCAAGCAGGTAAAATAGAGTACATCTTGATAGTCTGACATAATCTGAATGCGTTTTGACTGAGTTATGAATTTTTTAATTTTACTCAAAACTAAGGCAAAAATGGGTTATTTCACCTCATATAGGTTTTCCCTAGGTTTTTGGAAATGTTTTGAAAAATAAATGTTGCCACTACTTTCAGCGTGGTTGATTACCTATGCTTCCATTCGTTTTCGGAATTACCACACCTAAAGCAATATTGATCCTGGGACTCTCAGGAACTGCGGTGCCACACCAGAACCAGGAAAAATTAAGAGTTCGCTTGATTTCCATTTGAAGAGAACACTTTGGACTATATGCCTATGGAAAAAAACTAATAGATTGCTATTCCAGTATCCGGAGATCCAAACTGATTTTCTGAAGACCTCCTAGTAAACCGATCTTCCGAATATTTTTCGAAAAGCATTTTGCTTAAGAAAACGTAGGCAAAACTGTTTTCTTTCTATTGCTGAAAACTCCAGATCTCTATCTTTATTAGTTATTAAAAAAGCCCTATTTAGCGTGTCTCGTGTAGAAAGAGATAATAGGCGGCCTTAAAATCTATTTTAGACGTGAACTGACGATTGATAAAATTCGTTAGCTATTGATTATGGGGTTGACAGATGCTTTAGGTTCATTGGCAACAACCTAGAGTTTCTATGAGGATATAATTTAGTTTGCCGATAGAGTCTAAATCTTTGATTCGCACAATCTATTCAAGTTTAAAAACCAAGTTTTTTCATTGTATCAAGGATGCGTTCGCAATAGGTTTTAGTCATATTCATATATTTGACAGAGTCGTCTGAATAAAATGAATAATAATAAAGATTTTGTTCCGGGAGAAAATAAGAATTAATCTGGCCTTGTTTATCACATTCTAAAAGTTGCTTGTAGAGTAACAAAGCCATCTTAGGAGGAGATAACAAATCATCAGGACTACGGCAATGAGATGACATAAGTTTTAAAAATATATTCTTCAAATGGTAACTGTGGATGGCGTTTGTTCCATCATAAATCAGAGATTCAAATCCATCCATGAATGCATCGTCTGAAACATCTACTGAGGAAAACACAGAAAAATCTGCTGTTGTGGATGTTGTTCGAATAGAACAACATCCTACCCGTCGAGTTCGACGACTACTCGCATGCCAAGAGCCAGCTTCTTCCTGCTTTGCCAAATGTCTTTGACGATCTGCTGGATCGAGAACAGTAATCTTGTTTCGAAGCGACAGTTGACAAGAAAGATGCGCTAAACGAAATGATTTGGCAAGACAATAGCCATGTTTCAACTGATCAGGTATGTGTGACATGATTTCACGCTCAATGTGCGAGAACGACAGACGCCAAACTGTGTCGTTTTTGTGCCCATGTGTCAAGTCAAATGGAATCGTTGACCTCGGCACCTGTTTACTCTGTTTTGGTATCAAATAAACGCCACGGCTCTTCAAGTCTAGATCTTGCCCAAGTATAAAACAATTACTTCGAGCATTAGCAGGATAAGCTTGCGTAACGTAAATTGTAGGCGTAATATCGACTGAGATAGTTAGAAATTTATAGTCAGAACTTCGCCAAGTCAGATGGTTAGTAGGCAAATGCGACATGAAAAAGGTTGAGTCAAATGAACTTTCAAGTTCATCCGAGAGAGTTAAGCCCATTGTTAGCCTCGGATCAATTAGTTTGGCAATATCGAATGTAGCACGAATGATCAGCTGATGAAACAAGCGTAAAATGCGAGACGACAACAAACATCTCGATTCCTGATCGATGAATTCATTGAAAATGCCCTCGTCTGATTTCGTTTTTATGCGAACAAACCCTTGCTCGTTACATTGTTCTAACTCGTCGACCAATGGACTGAAGTTACTTAGCGAACACATAAGATCAAATTCATTGGGATAGCCGACTTTAACGCTTTCATATGAACTGCCGGTAAGAATAATCTTTGACTGAAATCGATGATCCAATTGACTAATTCGTTGAAGCATTATGGAGACATAGTTTTCAATAGCCAATAGAATTTCTTGACTTTCATCTTCTGATCCATCTGATGCAACATGCCCTAAACCTGGTGTATGACGAATGATTGTACTGATTTGGTCGGCATCTCCAAGAACAGCTAATGTTTTGAAGACGCTTGAATAGTGTTTTTCCATTTCATCCACAAAATTATTGTCGATAACCGAATGTGGCAGTTGATCACGCCAAGAAAACTCGATTTCACCGCCGTTCACTTTTAACAATTGCAGTGCTTGCATTCTATCCATGAGTTCAGCATGCCAAGCAGGTAACCGTCCTTTGTGATCATATAAAGACTTGTCGCAAATATCAGCCTTCACCAGCACTTCTATAGTCTCAATCATCCCATCGCAAGCTGCAAAATGAAGTGGCGTCGCTTGCCATTCGTCCCTGACGTTGAAGTTTGCTCTTTCGGTCGGTAGCGAAACAAGAAATTCAATCATTCGTTTATCTCCGCACTCAGCGGCGAAATGTATTGGTGTGATCAAGGAATTTCCTTTTGCTTCAAGATTAGTTGCATGTTCAAGAAGCACTTCTAAGACATCTTGGTTGTTAAACATGCAGGCATAGTGAGCTGCCGTATATCCATAGTTATCCTGACTTTCCACATTTGTCCCATTCTTAATCAATACTTGTGCGATCGACCGGCCATTTGCCATATTTCTAGCGGCTAAGTGAAGTGCTGTTCTCTTTAGATAATCTGTAGCGTGTACATCAGCGCAGAGTTGAATCAAGAGTTCACAAATAGAAGAACTTAATTTGGCAGAGGCGAACATGAGGACTGTTGTTTGGTCAATTGCTTGAGAATTAATATCGCAACCGAATTCTACCAAGTTCTGTATAAATGACAATGTTTCACCAGAATCGAGTTCCTCCTGTGTATTTGACAATCGAACACAATATTCATACAGAGGTGTCTGTAACATGTTATTTTTAGCATTCATATCAGCACCAAATCTTTGAAATAGTTTAAGTAAGCAAGCATTTTTTGAGTTCATTACCACAAAATGCAATGGTGTCCGTCCGACATGATCGGACGCATTTGGATCCGCCCCATTTGACAAAAGCTGAACAAAAAACTGTTCGTAAGACGAACGATTATTTTCATCACCGTCATAAAGGATGAATAAATTGCGTGCAGCGCTATGCAACGAAGTAGAGCCGAAACAATCACGTTTGTTTAAAAACTGTCCACCGGCACCAGCATCAAGAAAGAGGCGAATGATTTCATTCATTATCCGAGCCGTACAGTCTGATTGGCCACTAATCGTCGTCAATGCCAAGTGCATTGGAGTCAAGAGATAACTGTCTTCCACACAACAAATGGACAAATCCCGATCAGTTAGCATTTTCATTATTCTCACTTTCTCGACGATTGACCGTCGATTACCATAGAAAAGAGAAAATATTGGTGTTTCACATTTATGATTTTTACGATGAACATCTGCATCATAGGCCAAGAGTAACTCAATCATAGAAATGTCGACGTCAGACTGATATATAGCGTTGTGTAATAACGTGTTTCCCACATCGTCATTTTCATCTTGAAAATTTGAATTAGCGCCAGCTTCGAGGCAACAGCATGCCATTAAAAAGTCATTGTCCTCAATGCTGTGTGCCAGTAACTGATCCACTGTTCGAGCAGTTGAATGGTTTTTAAGAAACCTTTTTAATTTATTTGATGACAATCCTTTTTGTTCTTTCTGTTTGACGATGCTGAACAACTTGTCGAATTTCTTGGTTTTGTGATGTGCGCTGTTATAAGCACATGTATTCCCCATTAGAGAAAGAAATATACTGCTGTGTGTTACTCGAAATTGTTTCGTTTTTGCTGTGCACAATAAACAAACTTAAACTTTTTCCTCTTCTCATAATGCAAAACAAAAAGTTAACGTTGAAGCATATCGCCGTCATGGAGGGTAAGGGTGTTTAACAATTAATAATAAATCAAAGAACGAGAGAATCAAAGGAGAAAGAAAACAAAAAAGAAAAGAAAAGGCTTATGAGACTTTTGGAAAATCGATTTTTTGATTTTTGATTTTATTGTGTACTAAGAGAAGCAAGGCAGGTGAAATAAAGTGAAAGGGATAGAAGAACGAATAAAAATGAGTATGGAACAACCTTGTTTAAAAAAATGAGAAGAAGAAATATCTTTTTGTACTTTTCGTTTTGATTTTTAAAAACAAAATCTATATTTCATAAATACGATGACGAATTTTAAAAGCAGAAAGTGGAGAGTGTACACGAAAATTTAAACGCGTTTCGAATTATCTTCGTCAGTTCAATAGAACTGTTACTTAGCTAGCAAAAATCAGATGTGAAATGAAGATGTGCAACCGGTCCTTTAGTCTGAGTACGCATACAGGGTTTCCCGTTATAGTTCGGGTACGACTGCGAATTTTTAAACTTAACTTCGGAAAAGCGAAAGTTTTCACCCAAAACCACAACGTGAGACAATCTTATGGGGACAATTTTCATCATTTACAATAAGCAGAAATACGTTTGATCAACAAGTTTTGATAGTAAGATAGAAGTTCATTCGATTGTGTGATGCATATTTATTTTCTATATAGTGACAACGGATCAGGATGCACAATTATTCGATGAAGTCAACATATACCGCGGGGTACCAGAAGAAGCTGCTTCTATTCAAGCTCACAGATATTACAAGTGGCTTTAGATCACCATCAAAATGTAGCCAACTTCAGATTGCACCGGCGGTGTGTCTGTACGTCGTTCGATCAGCTCCCACTGTTCCATGGGCGGAGTATGTAGCCTTATTTGCATCATTTTCTGCGAGTTGCTGGCAGATACATACCAGAAAATATAACCACAAAAAAATTCAATTCAATGTTTTGTAATGTTTGAAGTGGCTGCAAACACTATACTGAAAGCAGAAACGCATATAGAGGAAGCATTGACTGTAAAAGTATATTGTCATATGAACAATAAAAGTAGTATTTTATAGATTTAATCGCTTCTGCTAACATGAATGCCAAAAAAAGAACTGATCTATCGATAAGACTTTTCATTCTTACCTGCCGAGCTTCGTAATAGAGTTTATACAAGTTGCTCGCGTTCGGCTCTTCGTTATCTCCAGATTCTACGTTATGCGGCATAGAATTGTTTAATTCCAGTATCTTCCATTAGTGTGGACAAAGTGTCTAAAGACGAATTGACGAATCGCAATTTTTGGGCGTAAAAATGATGCAACAATTCGCATTTTACCATTGTTTTGCGAATTCGCAGCGAATTCGTAATTCAGTGCG